GGCAGCACGCCGATTAGGGCACAGCGCTCGTCCGACCTGATTGAATGCAATCGTGGAGACAACAACCAAAGACCAAAGTCTTCATCCATCGGAAGTCCTGTCGACTGCAAGCCATCTCACATGACAACTTGTTGCCATCTCTGTCTCTCTGCGTGCAAACGGGTTGTTGCTCTGCCAAGCATAAACGTTGGTTGAGTTCAGCCACATACAGACGGCATCCAGACCTGTTGCTCTCGATCAGGCCCGGCTGCCGAACGGCCCAATAAATACTACCGGCCCCGGGTCCCATTTCCTTTCTACTTCGACCATAGTGATCATGTTGGCATTGATTCTTCATAAATACACAATCAATAAGATCACTTATTTTGGAAGGGATCCAAACAAATACGGCCTTACCCAGTGCAATCAATAGCTATTGCAGTATTGGGAGTCATTTGTAACCAACCGATCAATTCTCAAATCCATGAGTAGACAATTATGTCCTTTATCCCTCCCTATCCAACATATTCCCTATCTTGTTCTCCTTGTCTCTCTCCCTCCCCTCGGCTCTTTGCACAAGCATCAGACACTGGAAATAATTTTTCGAAATCGTTTTTGACTTGAATCGACAAGACAGAAAAGCGCACGCCCTTACCCATAGAGCAGGAAAATAAACACGTACTGTCTGCCACCAGAAGCATCAGACGACTGTCTGACAAATGATACTCTTAATACTAACAAACTCCTCCCTATTGGTGGGCCAGTCTCCTGTTCACTTCGGTAGCTATGAGGGCCGTTGAAGGGTTTCTTAGAAGATTTGATTTTAGAAGAAAAACACAAAACACATCCTAAATCACCATTAAAATTATCACTTATCAAAATAGGCAATCAATGTGGTATTCTATGTGATGTATTCATCCTACTGGTGGTCTGTCTCGAAAACCTGCTTATAAACGAAAAATTTGGCTCTCTAACTGTTTTTTTGCCGCGAATACAACGGAAAAGTTCCGGCTGGGTTGAGCCCACCCAGGTAATCAACTTTAAAATTGACAAAACTGTAAAAATTTCCTCTTTTAAAAGTGGCCATATTTTGCTAAGCCAGAAAAGGGGTTCATGCAAAAGTAACAAGTCTATTACAGCTTAGAAACTTTATGAATTGAAGACACAGTGATTCTCTTAGCAAAGAACATGTTAAAGGATAAACTTGCAAAGTGTTTGTAAGTTGAGGCTTTTTTGATTGTTTGTTAGAAATCAGATAATCATGTAATATATAATTTGTCCAGTTTTTAGTGAGGTAATGGGAAAAATAAAGTTTATTGGGAAAGATCCCCGAAAAGATTGTCGACACAATAACCGTCCGATCATTATGTTATTTATCGCTTACATGATCGAGTTTTGCTCTATCTAACTTATGATTTTTATGGTCAAGATGAATCGAAATTGCTCCTTATTTATAATTTCTTTGCGCTTTCCAAGTACGTTAGTGTTTTTGTACCTTATCATTATTCGTCACGATTTTGATTTTTCAAACTTATATAACAGTTTGTCTGCGCACGCAAATTTATTGCTAAGTGCCAAAAGTTTTGCTCACAGTTTTAGTAAAAACATTAACTATAGCTAGCCTTTAGAGTTCGTTTGAAAATATTCAATTATCGTCAACACAGTACAATAACTCTCCTCATATATATACACATATATATATATATATATATATATGTATGTAGGCAGGGAAGGAGTTCCATGCATGTATTCTATCCTCATTAGCCAATTTCAAATGTATTTTTAAAAAATAAAAGCCTCAAACTTCATTTTGTAATTAACTAAATATTTAAGACATCCTGGAAACAAATAATAATGGAGAAATTGTTCAGCCCCTTCGGCATTTCCAGCGAATATTTTAAACTAAAGATAATTCTTTTTGCCCTTTCGTTCTTTGAGGACTAGGTTCCATAATAAACTCTACAATATATGCTATATTGAGAACACTCACTATAATGCATCTTCTTCTAAGTTTTATGCGCGTGATAGTAATTTAATAGTAATATTGTATTATTCTTGGCATAGAAAACTGCCCTAAGGATTCAATCAAATGCCGATATAATTTGTCTTTAAATAGCAAAATGTGTGATCATCTCATAGTGAATGTGCAATTTACACTAAAACTCTAGTAATGTAAAGAGACTAGCGCTAAGTTATTACTGAAAATAGTTATATAATATGAGTGAAGTAAAAAGAGGCTTGCTTCTTAGAATATAAATTGTAATAAAAGCTAACAACTACTCAACCTGCCCTTTAATATTTCGAAAGGTTATATTCCAAAAATATAAATAAAAAGGAATGTGGCAAAAAAACCTCGAGTCGATAGCAAATAATATAGTGATAAAAACTTTATTTCAACTGTTGGCATATTTACACATGCTCATTGGCGAATATTTAATA